GCTGCATACCAAGTACTTGTGGAATCCACATATAACTTTTATGAATTCATTGAAAATATCTCTATGCAAAACAGCAGCTGCACATTCCAAACATATGACTACCCATGTAATAATGTGAACGCAAAAGTTATTGTCATAAATTTTGGGCCCGCTCTTTCATTAATAACAAAAGAATATGGCTACATTAATGATTTTGGTCGGACAGCATGATTGGTCAGATGGCAGTGCTGCTGTTGTCAGCATTGATTTATGATTTAGGCTTACTAGCTATTTATTCATGATTTTACTTGGAGGCACCCCCCCCTTCATTTCAAATGAGCACTTCCTGAAGTTTCGGAACCTTTTTCTGGTGTAAACTGACTTTACTTTGGAAGGTTGGTTAAGATCAGATTAAATGTCTTCTTTTAGAAGCATACATATTGCTTTACTTATTTGTAAATTTACTTATTTACTTATTTGTTTGACATAGCCTATACTGGGTGCTGAGAAGCAGAGTGAGAAGCATGCGTTCCAGGCTTTTTGGTCTCTATTACAGTCATTTTATCTGAAAACAAAAGGCAGTGTTGGTTGCCCATTTCCATTCCATTCCATTCATTTTTATTGCTCATAGACCCATAAGTCATAAGCAAAAAGGATATAATACAAAGTACAACATATATACATACAATACATTACAATCACAGTTACAATTTCACAAAATTAAGCAATTTGGTTACCAAATATATATTACCTGCCTAAAAGAGTCAATTCATTTAATACCATCCAGGGTTACAGATTAAAACTTTGTCACTGCCAACATCACATTTGGATCAGTATCAGCTAAGAGATTAGCTACAAGTTCCTGATTAGTAGCAGGGCTCCATTTTGGAATATACACTGAGATCCATCTGTCATGAGCCATATTGTGTTTTTGTAAGCTACGCTGCCATATGGTTTATGGACTGAGGGGGCACCTGCCTGACTTGCATACGACTGGGTGCCACATTCCTTTCCCTGCTTGCCTCTCCTGTTATCTGTAACCTTGTACCACTGCCTAGTTGTAGTGTCTTCATATTAATCAACCATGCAACTGATTTCGTTTTCCAGCGCAGCTGCATCGGTTATTCCTTCCCGCCCGCGGGAATCAGGCCGATTGGCCCAAGGGTGTGTGTGTTGGGGTCGTATGAACTCTGTATATCTCAGTAAGCTTTCCCTCTTTACTCATTCCTAACAGTGCTTGTTTTCCTGACCAATAGTACTGGCAATAAAGTATATGCTTCTTGGAAGACTGTGCTCCATTTGTTTGACTGTTGGACCTGACAGTTTTCTGCAATCAATGAAAAAAGGCCAAATTGTATCCAAATCACCTGAATTACAATGACAAAGTCATTCTGAAAAAGGGTTCCCTAGAAATCTGCCCACTAGTTCCCCAAGAGGCAAAACATTTAATCTTGCCTTGGAAAACAATATTCTATATTTGGGGACCATCAAAGATTTACAGTAAGAGGGCAACGATTCTGGAATCGGAAGACCTAAATAATACAAAGAACAGACCCGTTGACCTTGGCAACTTGTACTCCATTTATCTAAGCGTAAAACACTAGATTTACATGTTGGTTGCCAGAAGTGACTTACTTGGTTCCCCCTATCCCACTAAATGAGATAAAGAAGAAAAGAAGTGGACCTTAGATCCTCTTGTTCATGCACTTCAAGCAGGCCCGTAGCTACTGCGGGGCCCACGGAGCCCAGCCCCCTAGCGGTTTTTATGGGCCCTGCTCCCGTAGCCTCGGCTCCCTGTCCCCCTCTGATTGCTTGTCAGCCTGTCCACAGGGAGGACGAGGGCAGTGATTTCAGAGGCGGTGATACAAGTAGCGGCGGCAGCAAAGTGAAGCTGAGAGATCCACCCAGGCAGCAAGCATGAATGGTAAAGCCCAGGAAAGGCAAGGAGGCAGGCAGTCACCTCCTCTGACCCAGATGTGCTCCAGTGTGCTGAGCCCGCACACAGCACCTCTGTGGCCAGCCCAGCCATCGCACACCTCACGTCTCCCAGCCCCAGGAGAGAGCAGAGGGTGGAAGTCAGGCTGCCCCTGGCGCCACACCATGAGAAGGGGCAGTGGAGCTTCTCAGGCAGGGAGGGAGCTGGATGCTCCAGGGAAGGCCTGTCCTTGTGTGTGTGGGGAAGGAAAGCTGCAGCCACTGGGCATAATCCCCCCTTGCCCTGGAGCTTTTGATTTAATTAGCTGGTGGGCCCCCTCTCCCCCTAATCCCTAGCTACGGGGCTGACTTCAAGTGTTGTAAAATACAGACCCCCCCAAAACCCGATCCACCCCACTACTTCAAATGTGACTGGGATAGACATATTAACGGGTTTGTTTCCATTATACTTACTTTGGCCCACTGCCAATGCCACAGAAAGACCCCCCCCCAATATCTAACAGAGTAGCAGCACCAGTGGAGGTAAGCAGGGTCTTCTGAACAACATCTTCCCTACTCTGTATCTAACATTTGCTATTACTTGAGAGGGCAAAGAGCCAAGACTTACAGCAGCTAGAATCACAAGACTGAGAAACCTGTAGGAGAACACTTCAGCCTTCCAGGACATTCAGCGAGTGACCTCAAGGTAGCTGTTTTATTGCAAAGGAACTTCAGAAACAGACTAGAAAGGGAAATTGCTGAATTACAACACTCAGAATACACACAACACACACCCGGAATTAACAGGGGTACTGGTTTCTTATCTAACTACATATACTAATCTCATGCAGTCTTTACATCTGTATTATCACCAAGAAGGGCCATATATCCTCTTTATTTCATTGTATTTCTTATTTGGAACAGTAGATTGGAATAGGGATTGTAACGTAATGCAATGAAATAGTAGAATGTTCTCTGGTCTGGTGACAGAGGAGACATAACACTGCACAACTAATCACCCCACCTTAAAGAAAAGGATGCTGTTATTTACCTCCATGCTATTGAGGAGACGGATGGAGCACAACATCAGGGTCTCAGTATTCTACTATTAAGAAGGGTACATTTACACATCAATCTCCAATTCTGATATATTTATTTGCTTCAGTATTCCTCACCCCTCCCAGAATTAAATCAAAACAATTGGTGATTGTATAAGCTAAGTTTGTTATTCTTGTTTGGACCTTGCATCTGTTAAACATAAGAACATAAGAGAAGCCAGTGTTGGATCAGGCCAATGGCCCATCCGGTCCAACACTCTGTCACACAGTGGCCAAAAATACCAGGTGCCATCAGGAGGTCCATCAGTGGGGCCAGGACACTAGAAGCTCTCCCGCTGTTGCCCCCCCCCCCAAGTACCAAGAATACAGAGAATCACTTGCCCGAGACTGAGAGTTCCTATCTATACCTTGTGGCTAATAGCCACTGATTGACCTCTGCTCCATATGTTTATCTAATTCCCTCTTGAAGCTGTCCATGCTTGTAGCCACCACCACCTCCTGTGGCAGTGAATTCCATATGTTAATCACTCTTTGGGTGAAGAAGTACTTCCTTTTCTCCGTTCTAACCTGACCGCTCAGCAATTTCATGGAGTGCCCACGAGTTCTTGTATTGTGAGAAAGGGAGAAAAGTACCTCTTTCTCTACCTGCTCTATCCCACACATAATCTTATAAACCTCAATCATGTCACCCCTCAGTCGTCATTTCTGCAAGCTAAAGAGCCCTAAGCGCATTAACCTTTCCTCATAGGGAAAGTATTCCAACCCTTTTATCATTCGAGTTGCCCTTTTCTGCACTTTTTCCAAAGCTATAATATCCTTTTTAAGGTGTGTTGCATGCTAATTTGCTGCTCATCCCTCTACCTATATATATAGACTGGCAACTTCCATTTCAATGTATCTGAAGAAGTGTGCATGCACACGAAAGCTTATACCTTGAATAAGACTTTATTGGTCTTAAAGGTGCTACTGGACTGAAATTTTGTTCAGCTGCTGGACATCATCCTGGGTGAGGAATTCCCGCTCCCACAGAGACAGTAAACATTCAGCTGCAAAAGGTAGGCCTGGCAGCCTACTTGGGATGTGTAGGGGAGGACCTATTTTCCCCAAACCATTACTACAAACCATGTGATGCACTCATGCCAATAAGAGAGCCCAGGAAGGACTTTATTAATCAGTGTTTTCAAAGCACTTCCAACAGTCATCTCCATGGAGTGTTTTCAGAGCCATGGATGTTAACTGCCTAAAGCAGCAGCAGTAGTGGCAGGAACACCTGAAAGACCCGGGAGAAGACTCTGAAGAACTTTTGCTCCCACCTGGTGCCTGGCACTTGCGACTATGCTTCGATTCATCTGATACCACTGACAGCACCCAGTATTTCAAGACAGATACCAGGCAATGGCAAAACACCTCTGCTGTGACTTGATGGCCCCTTCCACCACTGCCACCTTCAGTACCATCTAGCAGGGTTTTGTTTTGTTTTATTAAGTTAGCTTCCTCTGACATAAGACCAAGTGCGTCTTGACTAAGGACTCTACAACAGAAGAGTTTTACAATTTCAGACCTATCCGGAAAAGCCCTGCAGGTGCCCCTAAGTCGCCGAGGGTGGTAGCACTTTGCTTATGCTGGGAGACGATCTTTTTGACATTATTACTGGAGACATGCTTGGCAATGACTTCGAGGCCTTTTTTTCTCAAAACAGGATCTCAACAACAGCTCCTTTTTGTTCCCGAAAGGCGCTGACTGGAAGTTTCCTGCTAATGAGTCGCCCCTCAACGGGAGCAAACAAGCCTGTGGCTGAGAGGAGAGGTTTCCGGCTTGCCGGCCGGTGAAAAGTCTCCCTGTTCTCCCGTCCGAGCGGTCTTCCCATCGCTGCCTAGCCCACGCCAGCTTTGCAGCGCCTCTCCTCCCTCCCGGCTGTAGGTGCGCTTGGGCGTTGCAGGGCTTTCCCCGGCGGATCGGCGAGCCGAGCGCTGGGCGCGGGAAAAGGCGATAAAGGAAGATCCGCCCGCCGGCCCTGGGAGGCCTCGCCTCCTTCGATGTGCTCGAGGTGAACACAGCCCACGCCATAAAAACGGGCGCCAACTCAGGAACTTGCCTCTTTATAGCTGCGGCTCAGGAGTCGGTAGGGCGTGATAGGTCTCGAGCCTCTCTCTCCCCCTCTCCATTTGCCTGGTGACTTTTCCAGACTTCCTTGCCCGGGACGCCTTCGGGTGGCTCGCGCCGAAGCCCCGATGGAGTTGTACCACAAAGAGTTCGCCAGCGCCGGCCAGAAGGCTGGCTTGCAGATCTGGAGGATAGAGAAGCTGGATCTGGTGCCGGTGCCGGCGCCTTTGCACGGCAACTTCTACGTGGGGGACGCCTACTTGGTGCTGCACACCGTCAAGAAGAGCAACGCCACTTTCTACAATCTGCACTATTGGCTAGGTAGGGAGGGCGTCGGGCTGGGTGGACTCGGGGCAGAAGGGCTGGGACGTGGAGCCGGCGTCCGCTCGTGCGGAGACTGACGCGTCCTAACCAGTGTTCCCTCTAAGCTGTAAAGTCTTGTGAGCAAAAATGCTACTTTGTGAGCTACGGGCATTAAAGTGGTGAGCGAGCAATTTGGTTACTGCATAAATTAGTTTGCTCTGGGGCCATCCTTCATGAGTTGAGACAAAAATGTGTGAGCCAGAGGCTAAAAAACTGTGAGCTAGCTCACACTAACTCAGCTTAAAGGGAACACTGGTCCTAACAGTCCAGGAGCGCGGTGGGGAGTTCCGCAGACGGAACTCCCCAGTGCGCGTCTACTTTTTAGCCGTGCTGTTAATGTGAATTTGGAAAAGCAAAGCGAGGAGAACCCCATTCGGGGGAATGGAGGGGAAAGGCAGACTGGCTTCATCTCAAGGTGGGTCAGGTTATGAACTGGCGCAACTTTCTGCTAATGGAACGTGCGATGGTTCTGAAGTTTTAACACGGCCGCTACACCCTCCGGGTCTGCAATTAGAAAGGACTGGCAGGATTATTACCCAGTCGACGTATTTCGATTACTTCAATCCTTTCCCCCCTCCCAGGGTCGCATCAAAGATAGCACGATAGAGCCATAGTGGCAAGGAGATAGGCGCGAGGCTTCGTTTGCCTCGCGGCGGAAATAAGCTGCTGGGTTGGCTTCAGCCGATGAAACTGCGCAAAACTCCTCCCCCCCCTTACCTGTTTTGTAAACAGAAGAAATTCGTTGCAGGCGTCGCTCGGCACGGTCTTGCAGTACCACCCCCGCTATTAGCATAACTCCGCCCACCTTTGGCCGCACCCCTTTTTGAGAGTACCGGGTATTGCGCTTTAATCGTAATATCTCCTCTGGCCTAGTGTTGATTCTGTAGTATTACTCTGATATTATGTAACATTGATGATGCTTTTCTAAAGATGTATCACAGAGCCAAGCAACTTGAGGTTGAATACTTAAATTTACAGGAAGAAGACTTCCTTCTAGGTCAGACAGCAGGGCCAAGTATCAACATCTCCCTTTCAAAATTAAACACTATGCAGTTTCCCTTGAGAGCATTCTGTGCATAGGCCATAACAAAAACCTCTTCCCGCATATGTTGTTGTTTTAACATATAATAATTATCTCACCTGGATGACCTTGGAGAGCCAGTTTGGTGTAGTGGTTAAGTGCGGGGACTCTAATCTGGGAGAACTGAGTTTGATTCCCCACTCCTCCACTTGCACCTGCTGATGTGACCTTGGGTCAGTCACAAGCTCTGGCACAGCTGTCCTTGAAAAAGAGCAGTTTGTGTCAGAGCTCTCTCAGCCCCACCCACCTCACAGGGTGTCTGTTGTGGGGAGGGGAAGGGAAAGGAGTTTGTAAGCCGCTCTGAGACTCCAAGTGAAGGGCGGGGTATAAATCCAATCTCCTCCTCCTCCTCCTCCTCCACCTTTCTTCCATTATATTTATTTTTTTATTTGTTTTTACTTCATACATACTCTGCTTTTCTCCTCAGTTGAAGCCTAAAGTGGTTTACCATGGTCTCCTGTCCTCCATTTTATCCTTACAATGGCCCTATGAGGTAGATTAGGCTGAAAGTGTGAGACCAACTCAAGGTCACCCAGAAAACTTCCAGGGCAGAATGCAGATTTGAAACCTGGGTCTCCAAGATCCTAGTCTAAGACTTGGATAGAGAATCCAAGGCGGCAGTTCATGAGGTCCTTCTAATCTATTTTTATCCCAGCCTCCCTCCAGGGAGCTCAGGGTGGCATGTGTGATTTTCCCTATTTTGACTTTCCCTATTTTGTTCTCACAAAAACACTGTGAAGAAGGTTAGGCTGATGGTTTTTATGACCAGTGGGTTTCATGACAGACTGGGAATTCCCAAACTTCCTTAGTGCAAACCTGAAACTCTGACCACTACACTATGCTGGGTCTTACAAATCTCCCATTCACTCACCGGACCAACATCTCCACAGCGTTAGCAAAATTGCTGCATCATATGCCTTCCAACCTGTGTCCTGGCATCGTAGCACTTTTGTGCCATTGCTAAAAAATATGCCAGAACTGCTGTTCTTAACCGCACTTACTCAGATTTCTCCCCATCTTTTGTGCTCCAATATTCTGATACAGAGCCTGTGCAAGATGCAGTGAAGTGAGCAAGCGGACTAACTGGCAGGGAGAACCTCACCCTGTTTCTTTAGGGAGGAGGCAATAAGAATCTCAGAGTCCAAATGAGGTCAGGTGGTTGTAGGTGCTGTGGTGCACTTGGGTGTACTTCAGACATTGGTGCCTGAAGTTCAGAATATGCGTAGCCAAAAATTATATTGCCCAGTGGAGAAATCCCAGTTTGTTTCCTTTTCATCTAGGTAGTCTGATTCCTCATGGATATCTCAGAAACACGGTGGAATGGGGAAAATCTGTGGGAATAATAAACACAAACTGGGGAAGTCGCTATCAAATGCAGAGGAATATATTGAGAAAATACATCAAATAACGCTTAATATGCAAAATCCAAAATGGTACAATACAAACATTTAAGTCCAAAGATTACAGTATCAAATATGGAGTTCAGAATAGTACAATACAAAAATTCAAATCCAAAGATTTATGAGGAGTCCGGCTGTTAAGCTCTAAGATGCATATTGTTACAAAGATGTGCCCACACGTTTCTGTCTTCGCTCAGGAAGGATGGCTCCAGGGCAAACTAATTTATGCAGTAGCCAAATCACTTGCTCACAATTTCAATGCCAGTCGCTCACAAAGTAGAATTTTTTGCTCACAAGATTCCACAGCTTAGAGGGAACATTGACCAAGAGGCAATATCATCTATGCTCTGTTGTTGGACCTCCAGAGGAACAGGTTGGCAATGGTGTGAGACAGGATGCTGGACTAGAGGGACCACCAGTCTGATCCAGCAGCGCTGTTCTTATGTGCTTGTGCATCTGGATGCCAGGTGCTGAGGTGGATGCTCAAATGTGTAATGAGTGCATGATTTGTGAAAAACTCCTGTTTGTGCACTGCAGGCTACTGGCAACTTTAGGAATTTAACATAATTTGCTAATGAACTGCCACCTTCTGTACTGGATTGGATTGCTTATCTCCTATGATCTGTTGCAGATGTATTTTAGCATAGAGTGCCGAGAGCTGTAGGGTTTTTTCATCTTGGGTTTCTGTTTACACCCTGCATATCTATGAGTGACAGGGAAATTGCCCAGATGAAGTTCTAACTGCTATTTTCCATTTCCCTGAGGTCACATAAAATTCTTGATTTTGTAAAACAAGAGACTTTGGGTCTTTGTTTTCAGCCCTTACTGTTATAAATTCTTGATACTGCATCTCTTCAAAACACAAAGTATAGTACAGGCACATCGCTTCTCAGCCTTTTGGCTATGATCAAGTGAAGTAGTACAGGCGCTGAAGATAACTGCTTTGGCTGCAGAAAATGATACTTCTGCTATGATAAAAGATTATATTGAAACTGTGAACTGTGGATAGCATCACTAGATCCTCTGTGATCAAGATTAGGGCTGATAACTTTTCATTCTCATGAGAATGTTGATCTCATGAGTATTATAGTACTTAATTCAAAAGGAATCTAACTGCACACTCCTGGACTAGGGGTGTAACTCTTCTTAGGAAGAGGGGTGTAACTCTTCTTAGGAAGAAGGGTGTACCACTTCTTAGGATCTCACTGTTGGTAGTTACAGTTCATTGTGAATATTTTCAAAGCCAACAATGTGAAAGAATATAATTTGGCCATCATAGTTATTGCTTGTGGTCTGGACTGATCTGCCCACCCTCTCTTACCTTTACTTACACCACCCAAAGTATTGTGCATATCCATCTGAACTCATTTTCTTTTAATAGGGCTTGTCTGCTTGTTTCTTTAGCAAACCACAGTTGCATGAATGGTGTTAGTTGTAATGTTTCAGGGTGGTGGAAACTGAAAGGCTCCCTGAATAAGGATTATGGAGGGAAGTGGAAGATGAGCAAGGCCCACCAGTTGAACAACATCCTGCTTAACCTGGCAAAACGCAAAAGCAGGAGGGGTCAGCTACTGAAGGTCATGGGCCAAATCCCACTTATTAAGTGTTATGTGGGCCCTGAGTTCCCAACTATAGGGATAAAAATGCATGACATAAAAAAATAGATTTGTCTATCTAGATTGACTTGCACAATCATATTTTAAAATACATTGTGTAAATTTAAAATGGAGTACTGTGTGGAATAATGGAATACTTGACACTGAGTTAGTGCCCTTCTATCAAGTATGTTGTGTTAAAGGTTGATTTTGTGTATAAATGAACATAGGGAATTGTAATGTATCCAGTCTGACCATGTGGTCGGGTTGGGCTCCATGCGGTCAAGTGCTAATGTCGAGCTTCGCTCCACATAACAAAGGACTAAGCCCGCACCTATCCAAGGGCTAGTGTCCTGGCCGAGAGCCTATGGAACTCTCAGCCACTGTAAATAACCTATTGGCATGTGTGGGTGTGTTCTGGGTGGTGGTTTCACAGGGGATATAAGCCGGCCTGCGAGCCGGCTCAAGTTGTCTTGTTCTTCACTAATAAAGTACGCTTGCTGAAATCACTCGACTATCTGCGTACTTTTCAGAAATACTATTTTCAAGGTCAGGTACTGCAGATATGGCACAGTAGGACATATACCATTTTGGTATTGTAAGTTGGATTCTGGGGGTCAGGCAGGTCATTACAGGCATGGGGGCCCAGTCTTTGACTGTGTTATCTGGGAGGACTGAGTACGGCTCTGCTACCTAGATGGTCTCAGATAGTATGTTCTTTAACTACCCATGCCCAGTCATTTACTCAGTTCTCAGGTTAGGAACATTTGGTCTTGGTAAACAAGGAATTTCATTTCTGTTTTATGGAAATGAACTGTTCTTGCTAGTGATTAACTACCAAGAGACAGATACACATGCAGTGATACACGGTGATAATGTTGACTACAATGTACAAAAGTTTTGGATTGCTAGTTACTTTGTCCTGTTTTGCACACCCAGCAGTGTGTATCTGGAATGTTCTGAGGGAATGAGAATGGGATTGTGGCAGCGGGCCCTGCCCTCACCTACACATATTCCATAAACTTCTGTAAACAGAATATATTCATACGTGCATAGATCGGCTTGTGCTTACAGTCTGAGACTCTTCTGGCAGGGCCTCTGATAATGTCTACAGTGCTCATGCACATACATTTTGTACATTCTATTTATAAACCCTGTTTATGTGTATTGTAGGCATGTAGGGAGAAACAGGACCATGCTTGTTAGCCTCACCACCAGACATACACAATGCATGGCTGAATGTCTGCAGCAAGGTCCTGTGTACATGTACAATTTATATGTGAGCATGGGGGCTGCTTGTTTGCTGGCTTCTGTGTGTGTACAGTTTTTTAATGCATGAACTGGACTATACAGTTTCCCAGAGGCAGTGGAATGGCCATAGACTAGCTCCTCTCTAGGATTGCCAACCTTCAGATGGGGGCTGGAGATCTCTTGGCATTACAACTGATTGTCAGGAAATACAGATTAGTTCCCCTGGAGGAAATAGCTGCTTTGGAGGGTGGACTGTATGGTATTATACCCCACTGAGGACACAACCCTCCCCAACCCCACCCTCCCCAGACACCACCCCCTAAATCCCCAGATAGTTCCCAGGCAGGAGTTGGCAACCATACTCCCCTTATGTGTGTTTGGTGTGCACACAATGACTGCGGGGAAAGGATTTCAGTATTTTTGCAATGTGTGTGTGTGGGAATTGGTGTAAAGAGGGGGAATTATGTAATAGAGGGAAAGGAGCAAAAGTGAAATCAAAAGCAGCAACAAGAGAAATACACCCTCAGAAAGACCATGCATGCTGTATTTAGTGGTAGATTAACATGTTTTAGTGGTCAGACTAAGTGATTTGTATGGAGTGTTGTTCAGGAAATACGAGAATCTAATGGAAAACTTGATTTACATCAATGATTTAAAGCAACCTTTTTTCTTGGTGATTTAAATTGTTGATTTGAATAATCTTGATTGAAATTGGTCCACCATTGTTTCTGACCTGGATATGAAAAAAGTATTGGAGAATAGGGATGTCATTGTACAGTTGGGACCTGGAGTTCTCCTGGATTTATACGTGATCTTCAGACTACTTGGACCAGTTTCCCTGAAGGGAATGACAGCTTTGGAGGGTGGACTCTATCACATCGCCTCCCTACCCTAAGCTCCTCCCTCCTCAAGTTCCACCTCTGAATCTCCAGTAATTTCTAGAGCTGGTGTTGTGTGGGCAGGCATCTCTGACCTCCTGCCCCCACTCCCATCTCAAAATAGCCTTCCAGAAACAATAACTGTGGGCTAGGATCCAAAAGATGATGTGTGTGGATGCTTTCATATTTTCTCCTCTGCCCCTTTGTCAAACTGAAACTCCCAGGGTTCCTCAGGAGGATGCTCAGTAAGTGCCCTAAAGGTAAAGGCAAGGTTCCCTTGCTCAAAAGCCAGTCGAATCCGACTCTAGGGTTGTGGTGCTCATCTTCATTTCAAAGCCAAAGAGCCAGCGCTGTCTGAAGACATTTCCGTGGTCATGTGGCTGGCATGACTAAACACCAAGGCGCACGGAACACTGTTACCTTCCCACTGAAGTGGTACCTATTTATCTACTTGCAATTTCTTGCTTTCGAACTGCTAGGTTGGCAGGAGCAGTAAGTGCCCTACCCTGCTGTAAATGGAATAATTCCATCTTGTTTTAGGAAAAGAATGCAGTCAGGATGAAAGTACAGCAGCAGCAATCTTTACGGTTCAGATGGATGATTACCTTGGAGGAAAGCCTGTACAGCACAGGGAAATCCAAGGATATGAGTCTACACAGTTTGTTGGTTATTTCAAAGGTGGCATCAAGTATAAGGTACGTCATATTGTACACATGGGGTATTTCTACAAGAATAATTATCTTTCTTAAAAGCGTTATATTTCCAAGAAGTCAGAATGAAGGGTGAAAACAAACGCAACATTACAGCAGAAGCTCTGGCAGTCTTCAATTTAATGCTGTTCTAGCCCAAACTTGAGGTAGCTGCAGTGACACTTTTCCCCCCCAATTAAATGAGACCGTATGTGAGCTATCCTACTTGCCATAACACATCTGCACCACACATGACCACATTTAATTGGGAATTGTAATTGTAATTCATTGACAGTACAAGCATATGAAGAGTTACTCTAGTCTAAATCCATTGATTTTAGTGAGATTGGACTGGAGTAATTTTGCATGGTATTGTTCTGTGCCATGGTGACTATGAACACTGTTCCAGGACCGAAGGGCAAGGAGGAAGGGCAAGGGCAAGGAGGAAGGAGTGACTTGCTTCCACCAATCAGCAGTTTCCACATATAGCTTGTTCTGGATGGCCATTGAACTGAACATACACTTGGTGCAATCTGCTAAAAACACTTCATGCACAACCTCTACTGAATGAATGGGAATTATGAAATCTGCTTCATGTAAAATATAATAAAAAATCCTCAGTAACAGACATTATGAAATAGAAGCTGTGATCTTCTGTTCAAAGCTAACATGGTCCCCCCTTATTCTGTAGTCCCTTTAAACCGGCCTGGTTTAAAGGGACTGCAGAAAAGATTGGGGAAACAGCTGAGAGGCAGGAGCCGCTGCCCATATGTATTTTGTGGCTTTGCTGCTCCTGGCTTGTCCCCCCCCCCCCATTTTTTCCATCCTTATGTCTATTGGACCTGAAAAAAGGATTTCCAAAAAATCCAAGATCCAGATACTTTGCTGGTATTGGGATCCAGGATTTTTTGGAAATTCTGAATTTTGGGGGGGTCCAATAGATTCAAACTGAAAAAATGGGGGGGGGGATTGCACGCTCCTAGTATTAACTTACAGGCAATAGCAGGCCTTCATCTGCAAACTCTTTGTTTCCTTCATAACCAGGGGTCATTTCGTAGAAAAAGAGCTAGGGAAACTCATTAGCATAACTCATTAGCATATGCCACACCCCCTGACATCAGGGGCCCGGCGGTGGACCTGCAAGGCCAGCGGGAGTGCAAGGAAGCCCCGCGAAGGCCCTCCCTGGCCCCAGGCAGGCAGGGGTGGGGAGAGGCGGGGAGGAAGCAACGTACCCTCCCTCTTCTCCTGCTTCCTCCTGGCTGAATGAGGGCTGGAAGCGGGCGTCCGGAAGCAGGGGGCGGGGCTTCGTCATGTGCCCCGCCCCCTGCACCTCACCCAGGGGAACTGCGTTCCCCCGCGTTCCCCCCCTGAAATGACCTCTGTTCATAACAGTAATCTGGGGTCTGATAAGTCACTTACAGGGAAGAGTTGCCAAGAGCAAGTTGGTAATTAAGCTTTCTTTTCCCTTGCTAATGCTCACCTAGCAGTTTTTGCTTTTTCCCTGGAGGTGGTGGTGGGGGGAACAGCCCGGGTGGAGAACTCTTGCCAATGAGAATCTGCAGGTAAGGGAGAGGTTAGGTGCCCTCTTTTCACCAGTCCTCTCTTGCAGGTTCCCTTTGTCTCAGCTTCTGCATTCCCATTATCTTGGCAACCGTAGGATTGTAGCCATCAATTTCCAGTGATAACATCTCACTTTCACGTTATTTACATACTCATTAAATCACCATACTTGCTTCCTGGGTTTATTATGAAATACCTGCTACGAGATGACATCTTCCTTGCAATCCCAGTTTAGCTTTGTCATGTAAAGGGAGCTGTGAGTTTGGTGGGTTTTTTTCCCCCTTCTGTGGTTTTGCAAAAAGATGGAAGAACTATATTGTTCACAAGTTACTTCATGGGATAAGTTTTGGAAACATGCCATACACCTCTGGAGGTCCCTGTACCATGGAGGTATTATTGACTTTTTAATGCTGAGTGCTGGGAAGATGGAAAGTGAAAGCAGCTCTGAACCATGGCTTGCCTGATGTACGTTGGAAGCTTGAACCATGGTTTCGGGTGCCAAATCAGGGTTAGCACAAATGGTCATCTGGCATGATGTCTGAACTGAGCCCTGTATAAAACCATTGCAGTCTGGATCCTCAGATGTTTGGATCAAGAACCTGAAAAGGTGAGTCAAACTGAGCAGAGGGCCAACATTTAATGTAGAAATAATATGTAAAAATGCATGTATTTATTTGTAAAGAATTAAAAAATATATAAGGGCCCAATCACACCTCATGTAAAAATTCCATGTAAAGGGCCATTGGCCCTTGTGTATATATGATTTTGGAATTTTTACATGAGGTGTGATTGGGCCCCTATGTGTTTTTTAATTCTTTAGAAATAAATACATGTATTTTAACATATTGTTTATACGTTAAGTTTTAATTGTTGGCCCTCTGCTCAGTTTGACTTACTTTTTCAGGTTCTTGATCCTAGTTCTCAGTTAAGTTTGTTTCCCTTTTTTGTTCATAGTTTCCTCAGATGTTTGGCCAGATGGAACCAAATTCTTTGGTCAATTAACATTTTTTTTTAATTTCGCTTAGGCAGGTGGTGTTGCCTCTGGTTTTAAACACGTAATCACAAATGACTTAAGTGCACGGAGACTTCTGCACATCAAGGGCCGGAGAGTGGTGAGGGCCACCGAAGTCCCTCTCAGCTGGGAGAGCTTCAACAAAGGAGACTGCTTTATTGTTGACCTTGGAACAGTAAGTTGTCGCAGCATTAAGTTTTCCAAAACACAAACCAGAAATCTCCCAAATATCCACAACATTTGTATGCTGAACACCCTAAAATGGATATTCTACACATTTGTCCTCCTCCCACATGCTAATTCATTGTACCCAGCCTATAGCTCTTTGAGATTGTTGCATTCCTTGTACTGTGGCTGTGCATATGGAAAAATGCACTACATGCAGTCCTCTGATGCTCACAATTGTAATTTCTTCTGAAAGAAAGAAATTACACACGCACTGGTGGCTTGGTGGTGGCCATTTTGCTATAACCACTGAAGCATTGAGTAAGGAGACATTCAACAAATTTCTGTTTCTTAGAACAAATGAATGCAACATCAGCTAGTGTTTTTTTTTAGGGGTACCCAGAAAGGGTAATAGTTACGTCTGAATATATTTCTGGCAAGACGGCAGAAGACCAGGGACATACCTCTCTTTTC